ATAATGTATCTAATGATACCTCCATGCAGTAATGTCTAAGTCCTCAACCACCCTCTTGGTACATGGGTGGTGAATATGGGAATTGAGCTCCAGTGTTGTATAATAACGTTTTGTACTTGACACTTCTTTCCCAGATTTCTATGGATATAACTAACAAAGTTTACCCATCCTGTATATACTCTAATTTTGAAGAGCATGGCCCTACTTTGGCAACCCTATGGCCATATGCTGAAGAAAGGGCCAAAATGCCAGCTATTCCAATCCTCCTATTGACTTACTCTAAGTTAGTTGTATCAGTAAACAAACACACATACACACATGCCAAAGTGACCAAAGAAAATACAATATGGCAAATCTTCTAGTCCAGTTGTGTAATATTCTTTAAAAAGAAAAAAAGATCTCATGGTATCAATTCCCTCCTTTATAGAGAACTTTAAAGTATTATAATGCCCCCAAATATTTATATTAATTAGTTTTCAATTATTAATTTGTAAATGTATGGGTATAATTTTTGCTTACTTAATAGAAATCAACTTCTGGGAAGCAAATAAATTTAAGTATGAAGAAAAGTATAGTCAGTTTGAATGGAAAGGCCTTACAAAAATCACGTGCCAGCAATTAAAATAAGGTCTTCCCTCATGTCAAATAAATGGAGACTATGATATATCTACACTTGCCTATGACTTTTGGTCAGACTAATCAATAGGCATCCAGCATAGCAGTACAAATGTCAGGTATCTGGGAGTATAGGTTATTATAACTCTTCCACTATAGTTAAACAGTGTAGATCCGTTAAGCTACATTTTATGGTTAGAGCAGTCTCTTACTTTTACTGTTTTGCCAACCAACTCCAAATTATTTTACCTATATTATTCATCTGGTAGATTGGAAAGTGTTTTCATAAGTCAAAAAATATTTATTGAATGCTAATTATGTGCAAGGCATTACAGGAAAACGAAGAATTACAAGGCACGGCCGTACTTTTAAACAACTTAAAACACAGTGGATACTTAATACTGGACACTTTATAAAAACTCCTATGGAATTAATGCAATTAAGTAGTACTAACAAGAAATTCTTCAAGTTTAGAGAGAGAAGTCCTTCACTGGGAGCAAGGTAGAGAAATGGAGCCCAAATTGTAGAATCGGCACTTTATCCTAGCTCATCTACTTAAGATATAGGACAGTGACAAATTGCTTAACCTTTCCATACTTTAGTTTTCCTCTGTGAAAAACAAGGATGTCCTTCTCTAGGATGTTTGTGTGAATCAAGTGAGAACAGTTCCATAACATATTTAGCAAAGCGCTCAGCACAGTGTGTGCCATATGGATTAACTATGTAGTAATAGTATTCATGTAGTATTCATATTCAGGGAGAAGAGAAACATCTCAGCGGGGTCATATGATAGAGACTATGGAGAGAAGAAAAAGATATTACCGCTATGGAGAATAATATTATCAATAGTGCAAAAAGCAGGAAAATTACAGCGTCTGCTGGGACAGTGAGTTTGGTCGAGGTGTGAAAGGTCTTGAACAAAAGGCAAACTTACTACTCCATCGTGTAACCAATAAAGAACCACTTCCAGTTCTTGAGCAGCAGTGTGACATGATTGAGAGGTCTTTGGAAAGTTCATCCACAATGTATATTGGGCTATGGAGATACGGGCAATAAGGAGGCTAGAGTGGAAAAAGTATTTCAGTGGTACGGACACAGGGCAAGAGGGACCTGATCTCTGATTATAACAGTGGGAGTGGAGAAGAGAAAAAAGGCAAGTCTTTGCAAAGGAAGGATTGATCAAGTGTGGTGAATGACTGGGTGGGAAAATTAAGGTGATAAAGGAAAAAAAGATGATTCTGAAAATGTTAAGCCTGGATTAATAGGAAAATGGAGTAGATGGAAGTAAAGTAGTCAAGAATGGAAGCTGATTATACAATGATGCTGATTTTACAAAAGTAAAGGTTGAGGCTTTTAAGTGGATTTGTGTAGCAGGAGTTGAGAATTTAGTTCTACAGCATGGAGCAAATGTTGGTTATCACTTGAGTAACGGAAGGCCTGATCCAATGGCTGTACGTGGCACCCCAGCACACCACTAGAATTTGTTCTCCCTGTGCCTCGCTCACTATCTTCTTTACTTTTCCCAACTGGTCCCAGCGAGCAGTCTTGCCTTCTACCTCTTTTTCCCCTTCCACTATTATCAGGATGGAAATTAAAAACAGTCTACAGATGTCTGACCTGTCTCTAAAATCACCATTCTTCTCCCTTCACCATTCAGAAAGTTACATATCCCACAGAACTTTTCCATTTTGGAGTCAATATAATAGAAATACGCTGAAACATACTTCCACAGCTAACCACATACCTCAACTGAAAGGACCCTTAGTCCACCTTTTCCTTCCTCTTTACATCCAAAATGGTACTAGGCACAGCCAAAGAAACCTCACATTTGTTGATCAGACTAGGAGTGTCTGTTGATTACTTTATATGCATTTGGTTGACTCCTTGTGATGAGGTTCCCATACTGATTTACCTGCTCACTGAAAACATTCTGCCCTTTCATGCTGCTGTTTTTAATACATTCTATTCCCATGAATATATAATTTTTCTTCCTTCTTTAAGGTTGATGTCAAGCATTACTTCCTCTGCAGAGGTTTCCATGACCCTTCCAGATATTTCTTTCTCTGTGGTCTACGACTAATCAGACCACACTTCTATTAAAGCATATCATATAATATTTTAATTAGTATACATATCTTTTTCCACTCCTCTACCCAGATATATTATTCTTCTTTGTATCCATAGCCCATCTCACCATGACCAGGACACAGTAGGTGCCCACCAAATGCAGGATAAATAAATGAATGAATGAACAAGTGTAGATCTTTGGTTTCCCTTGATCATTTGTTTCAGTTACAATATCATATTTTAATGTGATCTTTATTTGTATTTTCTTCAACTCTTATGCCATTTTATGCCTGTATTGCAATAGAGGCCCAAGTATCTGGTAACAAATTCCCAAGTTTTGATACTTTAAAGGCATTTCATAGGAAATAGTTTTGGTTTGTTATTAATTTTTTTGTGTATTTTGTTGAATTTTTTAAATAAAAATGTCTATAATTTTTTCAAGAATTTCTGTTCAGGGGCGCCTGGGTGGCTCAGTCTGGTTAGGTAGCCAACTTCGGCTCAGGTCATGATCTCACGGTTCATGGGTTCCAACCCCACATCGGGCTCTGTGCTGACTGTGAGCAGCCCACTTCAGATCCTCTGTCCCCCACTCTCTGCCCCTTCTCCACTGGCGTGCTCTCTCTCAAAATAAACGAACTTAAAAAAAAGAATTTCTGTTCAAATTAAGCAAATCAACATATTTTAATTTGCTTTAAGATTAATTTGCAAACCATTTGCAGGCAAATCAAAAAAAATGAACAAAATTTTAACATTACTAGAAAATTTTTTTACAATACACCCAGATTTTTGTCAGACACCCATGATCTAGTGTCTCTGCTCAGCTCTCTTCAATTCTGTGTGGTCACTTCTGGCTTATTTAAAAAGAGAGAGGCCCATCTATGTGAGCAGGTAGATGAATGGATGAGTAAAAGAAGCCAGTCTCTCTCCACATAGAGATCTCCAAAAATAATAGGATACATGTGTGTAAAAGTGGTAAACCACTAATAATATTTAGAACTCCACAATTCCTAGTGGAAATAAAATAATAAAGTAGTAAAGCATTGAAGAAAAAGAATGAGTACCATGGTTAAAACATTGGCATCAGATCCCAAAGCTTGTCTGAAACCCAATCACTCATGATTTGATCTGCTTACAGTAGGAATTTAGATTGCTTTTATGTCATGGTCCACTTAGAGACAGGCAGGCCACACCTCCTGACCAGGATCTGCATTAAGACTGTGCTGTATTATGCGACTGCTGAACACGCTCATTGTCAATGAAGATTTTTAACTGAACTACCAATGGTATTGGTTGAATCCCCCTTACACTTTGGTAGGGGGTGGCGAGAGAGTTGCAGCTATGTCTAGAGTTAACAAACATTTCACTTGCAATAACTCAGAATTACAAAACAGGTCAGGTAATGGGTACTGCTTGGCTTAGAAAGACATTAATAAGTGCTACTCTTTAAACACTCAAAACTTTGTTTAACATACCATTTCCAAAATAAGGCACACATTTCCAAGAACCATCCTTAAAGCCTGACTCTAGAAATGAGGTGAACTTTTTAAGCCTTCAAGAGAACTCATGTATGCAAATGAGCGTTTCCTTCTAAGCAATCACTCTGGGAGGCTGTACGGATACCAATGATGCTATCATTCCCAAGAACATTTCAAGAAATCTCCTTTGTAACTAGATTATACAAGATGGTAAATCTTCAAGGACATTTTATTCTTTTGACAAAAAAATATCTGACCCAACTTGGTCATGTTTTATTCACCATATTTGACTGTCAGTGACTTGTGGCTATTTGAAAAAATCAAGCCCGCCCTCCAAGACTGAAGTTTATCTAACAAATGGGCAAAAAAACTTTTAAATTTTATTTTAGAGAGAGAGAGAGAGAGAGCATGCAAGTGGGGGAGGGAGAGGGGGAGAGAGAGAGAGAAAGAAAGAATCTTAAGCAGACTCCACACACTCATCCTGGAGCTCTTAGTGGGGCTCTACCCCACAACCCTGGGATCATGACCTGAGCCACAGTCAAGAGCTGGACACTCAACCAACTGAGCCATCCAGGTGCCCCTTGGGCAAAACTTTTTCTCTTCCTTTAGTTTTCATCATTGGGCCTATCAATAGAAAACACAATTCAAAATCATCAGTCTTTTAAACATCACATATAAAATACCTGTTGGAAGGACAGGGCCAAATTCATTGCCATAATTAATTGTGAGAAATCAAACAATGGAAGCCCTTGTCACACCAGAGAATTCTATTAATGAAATACTATTACTTATTTTGTACTGATTTTTTTCAACTTTTTATTAAAAAAAAAAAATAGGCTCACAAGGAGTTGCAAAAATAGCACATGAAGTTCCTTATCCTCTTCACTCCGCTTCCTCCAATGGTGATATTTGATGTAACTGCAGTACTCTATCAAAACGAGGAAAGTGACGTTGTATAATGCTGGTAAGCAGGTTATATATTATAAAAAGACTTAGTCTTATGATGTTCGCATGTGTGTGTAGTTCTATGCAATTTTATTCATGTAACCACCACAATAATCAGGATACGGAACTCTTCCATCAATCACTGCAAATGAACCCCCTCTGGCCCCCTTTTACCTATGGACCCTTCCCTAATTTTCCTGTCCCAGGCAACCACCAATCTGTTTCCCTCTCTACCGTTTTGTCATTTCAATAATGTTATACAAATAATATCATATGGTAACCTTTTGACTTTGACTTTTTCATATAGTAACCTTTTGACTTTGACTTTTTCACTAGGCACAATGCCTTTGAAATCCAGTTTGTTGCATGCATCAATAGTTCATTCCTCTCTGATGCTGAATATTCTTCATTGTATGAACATCCCAGAGTTTCACCCATTGAAGGAAATGTAGATTGTCTCCTTTCTTTTTTTTTTCTTTTTTTGGTATAACAAATAAAGCTGCTATGGACATTCTTAAAGTATTTCTGTGAACATAAGTTTTCATTTCTCTGGGATAATGGCCTCGAGTGTGTGTGCTAGGCTGTACGGTAAATATATATTTAGTTCGTAACTGATAGACTATTTTCCAGAGTAACTGTACCATGGTACATTCATAGCAGTAATGTATGAGAGAGCCTAGTTCTCTGCATCTTCACCAGCAATTGATATTATTGCTATTTTTTACTTTAAGTGTGTGGGTCTCTTTTTTTTTATTAAAAAGCATTTTTAATATTTATTTATTTATGAGAGACAGAGCGTGAGCGGGGGAGAGGCAGAGAGAGGAAGACAGAATCTGAAGCAGGCTCCAGGCTCTGAGCCGTGGACTCGGAAACCATGGACCACGAGATCATGACCTGAGCCGAAGTCAGATGCTCAACCAGCTGAGCCACCCAGGTGCCTCAGTAGTTCTCTTCTTATTTTCAGAAATTACTGGTTCAGTTTATATGACTGGTACTATGATAATTCAGTAGGGGTGACTTTTGTCCTCAAAATGTCTTCCCGAGTATGCATTTCTAGATTCATTGTATATTTTTATTTTTAGATTTAAGATCATAAAAATATGTTTTCTCTACTTCAAATTTGCCTATGTCCAGTAATAAGCAATCGAAACCTCACTTCAGTCACTTGGACTTGGTCTCATAATTTCTCCCAGGACACAAACATACCCACACCTAAAAATGCTGTCTTTCCTGTGAAAAAAAGTCCTACTAGCTGCACTGTCTTGTTTTTACGGGGGCGGGGGGGGGGAGAGGGGGGAAGAGAGCACTGGTTGTCTCTGGTTGAATTCCTGAGAAAGCTTTTGTGGCTGGATTGCTGGGGGTGCTGGGAGAGAGCAAGACAACCGTAATTCTGCAGGTTTGCTGTGCTTCCTTCATTTCCAGAGAACAGCTTTTTTCTGGTCAATGTGAACTGCCCTGTATAATGATCCATTAAAAGAAAAAAAAGTATAGACTGCTCGCTTAGTTGCAAAATGAACACTTTACTTCAAACAGAATTCAAAGTGCACTTGACAGGCTATTTCATTAAGTACTTGCATGTCTAAGGTAGAACAAACTAGATGTAATTCACTTTTCCCCTCAAGTTCACGCCATTCTTTGTGAAGAGGCCCAAAGTACTTACTACTAGTATTAGGGGCTAAAATAGCAAGTAGGAAATAGAATCCAATTACAAAAGCTGCATATGGCTTCTGCTCTCCCACAACTGCACATTGAAAATGATGTACCTAAAGGTTACTACAGTTAAAACACTTCATCATATTTATTTACTTACTTGTAATCATAAAATTACCTCTGCTGGTTGATAATAATGTGTTTTGGGGGAGTTTTGGGGGAGAAGGAGTGTTTGTTTTTAATTTAATTTTGTTTGGTTTTAATTTCAGAGTAGGGCAAAACTTTCTAGTCTGCCTACCCTTCTTGACCTATACAAATTGGCTTACCTTTTATATTGCCTTATAAATAAAAGTTTGAACAGATGAACCTCAAAAACTTACTGATGAGTAAAAGAAGCCAAACAAAGACTACATATACACTGTATGACTCACTGATACGAAGTTCAAGAACATTTAAAACTATGGTGATAGAAATGAGAATAGTGGTTGGGGGTAGGGTAGTATTGACTGGAAACAAGCATGGAGGAGTTTTCTGGGACAGTAAAAGTGTTCCGTAACTTGATCTAAGTAGTGGTTACACAGGTGTTGTGTGTGCATGTGTGTGTGTGCACACGCATGCCCAGGCACATGTGTACACACACAAACTTCACCAAGTTGAATGCTTCGGATTTGAGCACTTGACTACATAATTCTTTAATTAAAACAGAAATCAGCAACTGAAATGAAAAAAATAAGAGGTTTGATGATAAAAATCACAGAATCGATTTTGATTTTTCATTTCAAAGGTTCCAAAATTTTTTAATTTTGTAAGTTATAATTTTCCTCAATGCTCATGAACCATGTTTCTCTTCTCTTTCTTCTTTTCTGCCTCTCCCAGCTTCTTGATTCGTTAGATTTATGTTGCTAAGTCATGCATATTGTAACTGTTAAATTAAAATATTGTGAAGCAGGGTGTGGAAGCAATAAAACTCTATTAAGATCCATTTAGGCCCTTAAAAATTCCATGATTCCTTTCACTCACAAGACATCTTTCATTCCTCTTTTTGAAGTTTGGATCCAAGGAATTTTGCATGCTGTGGGTTGGCATTTAGTTAATAGCATCTTTAGCTGAGGTTCCATTTTCTAAATTAACAAGATCAAGAACAGTGACCTGATGATATTTCTTTGTACATCTGGCTCTTTTCCAAAAATGAGGATTAGGGAGCAAAAGAAAGAAAGAGTGAAACTGAGGAAGGAAGGAAAGAAGACAGGAAAGGAGGGAGAGAGGGAGGGAGGGAGGGAGAGAAGGAGAGAAGGAAGGAAGGAAGGAAGGAAGGAAGGAAGGAAGGAAGGAAGGAAGGAAGGAAGGAAGGAAGGAAGGAGAAGAAAAGGAGAAAGAAAAGGAGAGAAGGGGGAGGAAGGAGGGGAGGGAGGAAGGAAATCTAACTGTCTTGGTCACCTTTATTCTAGGGTAGGATGTATCTCAAATTTTTGTTAAAATATCACATTTTTGTTACCCCCTAACCAACAAAATGAACAAACAACCTCACACACATAAATACAACCTGTAGTTGCAATATACCTTCTATTTCTCATTTCTCTTGTTTCCCTAGTTTCTTGTGTCTGACTCCATTGGGAAAAAAAAGTAAAGAAAAAAATTTCCATATAAACCAAAGGGATAGAATCAACTGCTTGCTTAAGGAGTTGAACCAAGTCAGGCTTAACTTCTTAAAGCATATTTGGGGATGGGCTAAGAGGGCAGAAAGAAGGCTGAAAAGTAGGGTAAGAATCTGTCTAGGCACATACTAGGTGCTCACTATATATTTCTGTAAAAAAAAAAAAAAAAAAGACTGGTGACAAACAAGTGCAAATCATTTATGCAAGTGAAGAACTCCTACAGTAAAGTGTGCGGCCAGCATAGCGGATCGGGAGGGCAGCTGAGACCGCCGTTCCCAGATGCGCGACTCGGAAACTTCGTGTTTAAAAACAGGGTGGGGAGACGTTAAGACCAAGCTATTCACAGGCAATGTGAGAAAATAAGGAGAGACAGATGGGGAGGAAAATACGGAGCATGCCGAAAGCCCAGGGGTGCTTTTCAAGCCGTGGGGGAGGGAAGTAGGAGCCTCTTTCCACTTGACTGCCCCCAACTTTTCTCCGCGGTGCTGCGCATTCTAGCGCAGTCGGCCGAGCCTTCAGCGTGGGACGCGCGCGACGGCACTGGGGACGGGTGGGAACGCAGCCCCGGCAACAGGTGGGGAGGTGGCGGACTTTTGTCTCCGGGAAGGAAATGGGCTGCGCTGAAAGGGCGGAAAGCAGTGGCGTGCGGGACTTGAGTCTGCGGGGTCCCGGGCGTTCTCGCCATCACCCCGGGCTTCTCTAATTAGAGAGGGGATGCAGGGTGGCATTAGTTCCCAAACGTTTTAATCGAGCCTCTTTTCAATGGCCGGGGATAAATGTAGCCACTGTTACTCTGTGCTGAATGGGTCGCAGAGGCTCCCGCCTGGCCCCCAGCATGGCCATTCAGGGTTCTTTTCATAACCTCTAAGCGTTTCAGTCCCTGGGCCTAGCGACACCCCAGAGCGCTCCTAATTAGTCTAATTAGAAAGGTGGGTTGATAAATGGAAGGAAGACAGACTTGGGTTAGGAAGATGCTCAATGCTGCCAATCTCGGCTGGGTCGTCGCTTATTCTCTCCGGAAAGAAAAGAGCGCGAAAAAGGAGACCGAAGCCGCAGCCCGCCCGCTCGCCCGCGCGCGCGGAGGCGCGGCTCTGGCGGGACCGCGGGCCCGGCTGTCACTGACCCCGTACCTCCCGCGCACCGCCGGGGCCCGGGAGCCGGCACCGCCGCTTCCCTCAGAAGCGCCTCTGGGCCGCGGCCTTGCAGACTCCGCCGCGCGAGACCCGGAGGAAGGGCCGCGGACGAGCGGCGCACGGCCTCCCGCCCCCCCAAGCCAGCGCCCCGCGGCCCCACCGGGTCCCGCGGCCACCCCTTTCCCGTCGGGAAAACCGTGCGGAGGTGCGGCCCGCGGGGCGCGGCTGCGGCGCCCGAGACGGTAGCGACTGAAAGCTCGGCTCGGGGCCGCCGCGTCCGGCCGCGCCACGTGGCCGCTCCCGCGCCTTCCCGCCACCGGCCTTGCGCGTCGCGGGAGAAACGCCTCGTCCCGAGGAAGCCGAAACCCCAAGACGGAAATAACTTTGGTTTGCGGACGCGGCTTCCCTGCCCGCGGCTGCTGGGGGCCGGCCGTGTGCGTGCGAGGCCCCTCACCCGCGCCGCCGCCCCTCGGGGTCCTGGGCGCGGCCCCGGGGCGTCGGGCGCGGGGGCCCCGCGCATTCCTGCGCTCGCGCGGACGGCGGGG